TTTGGTGTGATTCCTTCTAGCTTCTTCGTCGTACATTTATTTAAGATGTATGTTGTTGTCGACACAACTTCTCCTTATAATTCTTTGGGTAGATGCTTGTCTTTCAACATACTTCTCACCATATTCATGATGGTTCTATTCTTTCTTTCTGCAGTCTCATTCTGTTGTGGAGTGTAGGGTGGCACCATCTCATGCACAGTTCCTTATTTCTCACATAATGCATCGAAATATTTGGGCACATACTCTCCACCACCATCATTCCTCAGAATCTTTAGCTTTCTACCACTTTGTCTTTCGACCATAGATTTAAATTTGGAAAATACCCCGATCCCTTCACTTTTCTTCTTGATCAGGTAAGTCCATAACTTTCGACTGAAATCATCTATGAACGTGACAAAGTATTTGTTACCTCCAATCGAATTCACCCGGATATGACCACATACATCAAAGTATATGACTTCGAGAATTGCCTTCGACTTGCTTCCTGCATCCTTGCTGAAGTTATTCTTGTGTTGTTTCGCATGAACACATTCTCCACACACTTTGCTTGGAATGTTGATATCTGGTAATCCCGAAATCACATTTCTTCTCTTCAAATCTATGATGTCTTTGAAGTTGAGATGGCCAAGTCGATAATGCCATATCCCTTCATCTCTGCTAGCTGCAGTTGCAAGGCACTTATGCTCCATCACATTAAGTTAAATCTTGAAGGTTTTATTCTGAGACATGGGAGCCTTCAAGATTAACCTTCCTCCTGAGTCGAGAACCTCATCATATTATCTTCGATTGACACCTTGTAGTTCTTTTCGACCAACTGGCCTATAATGAGCAAATTACTCTTCAAGCCTGGTATATACAACACATTAGAAATTATTGACCTCTTGCCATCTTTCTCATAATCAAAACATCACCAATACATTCAGCTGCTAGAGTATTGTCATTTTTAAATTTCATTGAGGGCTTCATGTTGACAAACCAATCTTTCCTACCAGTCATATGTGATGAGCATCCCGAGTCCAAGTACCATTGGTCCTGAAATCTTTCTTCATCTCTTGAAGTGACCATCAGCAACATCTCTTCGTCTTCATGTTTTGCCATCTTTGCATCAGTTTCTTGATTCTTCTTCTTTTCTAGACAATTACTAAAATAATGACCATACTTCTGACAATTGTAACACTGAATGTGACTTTTGTCAGGTTTTTAACCATCACCTCTTCCTCTACCTGCAACACCACCTCTTGGGTTGCCTTGGTATCAGGGGTTTTTATCTGTTGTAGCCTCCTCTATCTTTGTTGCCATTCCAACTTCCTTTACCTTTCTTTTTCTTTTTTGACTGCGCCTGCATAGCCTTATCACTCTTCAACTTTTTCGCAGCTCTTTCGGCCATCATTTGTTCATGAGACTCAAGTGTCCCTTGAAGTCTTCCTTCGTCATTATTGACAAGTCTTTTGACTCTTCTATGGATATTACCACATGGTCAAACTTTGGAGCCAATGACCTCAAGATCTTTGCAACACTTCTCCATATACCTTGATTTGATTCACCAGTTTAGTAACCCTAGTGAAAAAATCAATTATGCTTTCACTTTCTTTCATTTGAAGCAATTCATACGCTCTTTTGTGAGTTTGTAACCTCACCTCTTTTACCTTTTCTGCGCCTCCAAACGATTTCTCCAAGATTTTTGGTGCTTCTTTCGTTGATTCTAAATCACTAACCTTTTCAAAGTTATCTGGATCAACACATTGATGGATTATAAAGAGATATTTATAATCTTTCTTCTTCAATTATTTATGTGCAGTCTTTTCTTGATTCGTCGTGTTTTCTGCAAGCGGTGCTACTCCTCCCTTCACAAGATCCCAAAGATGTTGATAACAGAAAACCACATTTATCTGTTTACACAAATTCTCATAATTATTGTTCTTGATAATTGGAAGGTTCGCCGAAAAATGTCTGTTTGGATGATTCAGTGGCATAGTGATTTTCTTCCTTCGAATCACAACCGGAACTCTAGATACCAGATGTTGAAATTAACCCAAAACCTTTTGAAAACTCCTAATCAATTTTGACCTCAAGAAAGATTATGCGTATCAGTTTTAATGGAAAGAAGAAAGAAAGAGTTTAACAAAATCAAAGGAAGAAGATAATGAATTTTCAACTGCGGAATCTCTGTCCACAAACTGTGAAAAATTCTTTATTCACTTTTCAACTGCAAAAATATGTGAATACAAGTTATTACAAAATAGAGGTTACTCCATCTATTTATAATAGAAAAAAGTCTAAAATTACTAATTTTGATCTTAAATTAAAATCTTGTGTCAAACAATCTGTTTCGACACTTCGATATCTAAGCAACTCGACACACATACGCATTATGTTAATTTCGACTAATCTTTGTTTCTTTTCAACTATACTGAAAGATAACATTCTCACCATCATTGAATTAATTTTTTTGTTTTAAAATTAAAGAATAAACTTTGGCAGTAGATGGTAAAGGTTCAATAAGTATAATTTGAGACTTTGCAGTAAAGAATGAATCATTCAACACTTAAGAAGAAAACAAATGACATACTCACATTCTTTGTTTCTTGACATTGGAAAGACAACCACAAGAGCAATTGACAGTGCTGGAACAATCTTCAATAAGTCTTATTGAAGAAGGTTAAATCAATAACGGATTTTTAACCTAATTTGATGGAGTGAACCTTTTGAAGAACGTTAAATCCTTTTGTATCATCCCAAAAAAAAGTTAAAATTTAGCACAGATTTATTGCAAAAAATATCATACCGTTGAATCTTTCTCAAGCATCGAAAATAACATCACCTTCACGTGGCAGTGTAATTTTCCACTACAACTACTCGACACTCGACAATAGTCCTACCTAACTAATACCAACTGCTCCCATAACAAATTTATAAAATTATTTTTAATTATTATGGGTTGTTATACATTATTATAAATATATAATATAACTTATTAAAAGAGAGTTGACAAAAAGTAAACAGATTTTTATTTTGAGATAGATTTTTTTATAATTTTAAAAAAATATATATGTTTATTTTAAAATAGAAAGAGTAACTTATATATATATATATATATATATATATATATATATATATATATATATATATATATATATATATATATATATATATATATATATATATATATATATATATATATATATATATATATATATATATATATATATATATATATATATATATATATATATATATATTTTGATCCTAATAAAAATTTAAAGTTGATTATTTAATAAACAAAAAAATAATTTGAAACTAAATAATTAATTTTAATATTTATAATAGTAAAAACAAATAAAATAAATAAACTCAAAATTATTTCAAATATTATTTGATATTTTCTCATATGATTTTTAAATATATTTAGTTGTCATTAGAATTTAATCCTGATGTTTGTATAAAAAAAAACTTATACTTTTAACATATCTATTTACATAACTTTTAAGGTGATTAAAATAAAAATAGAATACTTCACAAAAATTATATTGAAAACACATCACAATTACTAGTAACTATTTACGTAACTTTTATATTGATTAAAATAAGAATTGAATACATTTTACTGATTCAGTAATTATGGCTGATTAATTGTATTTTAATTAAATAGTATATTTTTTAATTAAATAGTATATTTTATGGGTGTTAGTTTTTCTACAAAATCTAGTGATTGCAGCTGAATCATATAACAAATTAAATTGAAAAAACTTACTAAAGGAATCTAGACTATGCTCGTGCAGTTTAATTAAATTATCAAGGAAAATTGTTTCATACACATGAATAAGTGGCGTCTCACATGGAAATATTTGTAAAGATATTAGAAATTAATTTAGTAAAATGATATGATTTGATAAAATGGATATATAAAGACTTATTTAGTTTTCAAAGTGCTCATCATCAATCAAAATTCTGCACATGGAGGCACATTATGGTAAAGAGTTACAATATTTTCCTAAAATATTTATTAAGTTATCATAATATAAATGCAAATAATGAACAGATACATAGCATTACAGCATGTGGTAGCATCTAGAATGAACCACACCACTTTTATAATCTTTAGAGTGATAAAATATGGTGGGGAAGAAAGAAACCTAAGTGCAGAATATGAATAATAAAATGTGGGGTTGTTTAATCTGAATGTCATAAAAGGTGGTCCATGGGTGAGGGACTTAATAGAGGATAGTCACAGAAGCCACCAGCAAATACGTATATGCTAATATTGAAATTGTTTTTCACAACACATTTAAGGTGAAAAAGCTATCCAGCTACCCTGTAATTCAAGGGTATCAAACAGTTTTATGAAGAAATAAAACACTATGATCAACCAAAGGATATGAGAAACAATTTTCATAAAAACTACACATGAACGTAACAATTTTCATACAAAATTAACGCAAAACTAAGATATGAGAAACAAAATTATTTGAGCAATTTCAAGAGAACGGGCTAAATATGTTTCATGACCTGTGTTTAAACCACAGGAAGAACTAAGATGATAATTTCACTCTACAACCAATAGTAAAGGTAAAAAAAAGAATAAAAGACAAGGTCGTTCATTTCAGGACCACCATAGACTCCAAACATTTCAAATAATAACACATGCAAGCTCAATACTGATGTCTGTATTGGCATTTCATGGGGATATATCCTTTTCTTATCGCCCTCCTTCCTACCCAGTTTCTCTTTCTGTATGCAAAAAACCACATCTTTTCTGCCAAGTTAGCAGAAAGATGGATCATCACCCACCAACTTCTTCCATAGCAATGCATAACAATAAATTTTAAAAATAAAATGAAAAAAAGTAGACTCCATGTTCTGACAAAATGCAGACAGCCAACTGACCGAAACACCTATGCCCAAAAATGGTGATGACCCGACTCATGGTATGCAATGGAGACCCCAACGCGGCGATGCAGATGTATGGAAGAAGTAGGACCCATGAAACAGCAGCAGGAGCCTCAATATGATGGTAATGATATTGCTCGGCTGAGTGTCAACTTGGCCCATTCCGCAGATTCCTTGATCAAGTGATCATCAGATGATAAGCACTCTTTCAGAAAGTCTTTGCTAGATACAGACTGCTGAATCAAAGGACCAGCAGCTCCACCTAAAGTATCTGCTAAATCTCCAAGCACGCCAATTGCTGTCTTGGTCACAACATCATCCCTAAATGTACAACAGATGTCAACAAATCAAAATTCAAAATTCATTGAAGAAAAAAATACAACCATGATTTGAAAATACAAAAATTAACTTACATGTCCTTCTCCAAGTACAAACTGTCCAGGAACTGCAATACATGAGGAGCATAAGGCATCAGGAGCTGTGTCTTTGGGGAACCTTTGAATCCTTGGAAGATCCCAGAGTATGCCTCAAGGATTCCATTTCTTAAAGTGTTAGTGTACTCGGTCATATCATCATCTGCCCCAGCGGTATGAGCAGAGAGCTCAGCAGCACTCTGGAGCATAGGCATAGCATATAACAAATACTTTTCAAAATTTTCACCAATCGCCAAAGCAATGTCGCCAAAACATGAAAAAATCGGAGGCTTTACAGACCTATGCAACTGATTACTTGACAAATCCTTGAGGAGTTGGGTCATTATCCCATCACAATAAGGCAGTATTTTCTCCTCCAAAGCCCTGCTTACATCACCTACCACACCCACTGTGATAGCACAAACCTGGTAGTCCTCAAAATTTTGGAGACCCAACTCCAAATACCTGTAAAATTCTTGCATGTATTTAACAAACTCAGTGCCAGTTGCATAAGCCAAAGCACCAATGGCAAGCATTGCCTCTTCATGCGCCGTTGCACTACGAGAAGCAAATACTCTCAAGAACAAACCCATAATTTGGTCAGCATACTGCATTAAATGATGCTTTGTTGGATCTGACGCACCTAACTTCTGTATGATTACTTGCAAGCAACCACATAGAAGGCCTTGTAATTCATTCTGCCTATCATCAGATGAGACCTTCTGATTCTCAAGAGTCTGGTGAAGCTCCATCATGATGACAGTAACCAGTTGGGCGACCATTGGAGCTGTATCATCATTAGAACACCTCACTACTTCATTCAGAGCTTCATATGCTGCTGTTCTGAGACGGGACTCTCCAGTATCCTCTCTGTGAGTAACAGTGAGAAGAGACTGGACAATATCCTGAAAGAAGGGGGTCAATGGAGAGGACGCAGATCCAGCATCCTCATAACCTTGAGCAAGGAAATAAAGAGCGCCACAGGCCTTCTCAGCAACATTTGGAACATCTTTCATGCTGTGAAGGAGGACATTAATAATTTGTTGACAGTTTCCTTGATTGATAATGGGAGTATCCAAAGCTGACCCATGCAAAAATTCAAACATTCGCCCAAGAGTCCATGCAGTGGTGTCCTTCACATGATTGTTTGGGTCCTTTGTCAGTGCATTGAGCATGAAGCTCAAAGCCATATTCACAAGTGGCACAAGCTTTTCAGGGGAAGGTCCTTCAAGAATGGAACCAAATGCATAAGTTGCAGCTTCCCTTTGCCTCCAATCTGGTTTAGTTATATTCTCTTCAATAAATGGCATAACCAGAGGCACAATATCATCGCCGACTGTCCGTGCAACCAATCCCAAGCATGTACCACCAGCCATGGCAATGTTCCAAGCTCCTTCATCTTGATCCTGATCTTCCTCTTGTTTCAGAAGTGTTTCCAATAACATGGGAATAAGAAATGGAAGAGCGTGCTTTATAAAATAAGAGCAAGGAACATCTGAATCTCCACTAAATTCACCTCCATATTCTTCTAAAATATCTATTTCTTCATCACAAATTGAACTCCAAAACTCAATTGCCTGAAGTGCAACGGGCTCTTCATCTTCCCTAACAGCTTTGGCGGTGATGGTGAAGATATCTTGGATATAAGGAGCTAACTTTTCATAATATGTAGAAGAAATAGCAACCAAGCATTCAAAAGCAGCACGTCTGATCTTTATTTCAGGGGAGAGAGTGGCTTCACAAACAATTCTCATTATGTAGTCGCGCTCCATATCATTGGAAAAATTTGCCTGAGCAAAACCCAATGCATTGTACAATGCCTGTATAGCAGCAAGCCTAACGTCATTGTTTTCTTCTGTAGAGTTCATTCCCTGAACAACTGCAGTGAGTATCTTATTTACATGATCCTGCTCTACCACATCGGGGGATACTTCTTCGCAAATGTATCCAAGGGTCTCGAGAGTTGCCTGCCTAGTAGGAGCAGGAAGCTGATGAGCATTTGACAAGAGGGATCCTATCAACTCAGGCCATTGCTTGTGGGGTAATTCAATGCCAGCAACTTTTGCTATAACTTGAGATGCAGTTGATCGAGCATCTGGAGAAGGAGAAGATAGGGTCCTCAACAAAAATGCTTTAACTTGTGCTTTAAAAGTTGGATCCATAGCCAGCCATCTTTGAACAAATTCAATCTTTTTGTGTTGTTCTTTGGAATCCAAAGCGTTCTTGAGAATTAACCCTGCTAGCCTCCTACTCTCAGAAGGCTTCTCATCATTTGCCAATTCTCCAGCAAGAGAAAACAAGAAACTTGGAAGATTCTGCTCCTGGAACTGTTTCAAGTTATCTTCAGCTTGCTTCCTTAAAGAAGCATCCACTGCTTGAGCATTTAAGAGGATCTGTGTAACTTCCATAGCCATCTGAACCTAGAACATGCAAAACAAATAGTATAAACAAAGGGAATAAAAACAAGAAAGGAAAAACAGTGACAAACTAGGAACAAAAAAATTGTTAGGTAGGTAATAAAGGTGCTGCAAACTTAAACCCAAACTATAACTAAATAAACAATATTGTAATATATCAAATTAAATCAGCATAAAGGGAGAAGCTCAACAACCATGTGCATATTATCAGATTAAGAATGGGTAATATAAGGGATGCATGCAGAACTATTAAAAATATATATATAATAGCATGTTAAAACCATAAAGGATTATGAAAGAAACACCAAGTGATACTGTGCAACAAGTTTTAACCAGAACGATTTCACAGTGAAAGAAAATTTACATGAGATGTAGGTAAAACAAAAAACGATTTCACAGTGAAAGAAAATTTACATGAGATGTAGGTAAAACAAAAAACGATATCTCAACAATACATACAAAAACAAACACAAGGAACTGACCAACACCACCAAATAAACCCCAATCTGCCCAACACAGCCCATAAACCCCAATCTGAGCAACGGAGGCCATAAACCCCTATTTGAGCAACGGAGGCCATAAACCCCAATCTGAGCAACGGAGGCCATAAACCCCATACATCTTTGTAGACACAAAGAAGCCATAAGCATATAATATAAAAAATGCAATTAAAATACAGTAAAACCCATTTCTCAATAACAACAACAAAAATTCACCCTACTTGAAAAATATTAGTACTCATTTTTCAATAGATCGAAAAACAAAATAATTAGATTAAAACAATTTTCTAACATTAATCCGCAGCAAACAAAGTATCAGCAACACCACGGATTAGACTAAATCAAATTACACTGTAATATTCACAAACAAACCTAAAAAAAAAATACTAAACAAATACTAATCAGAAACAAATAAATCAGATTAAATTAATCCATGTAAGCAGCAATAAAACCCTAGAAAAACCACCTCGGATCAAAATCAAAGGCAGAAGAAAAATAAGCGAAAAGAGAAAATCAACAAGAGAGAATCAAACTCACGGGAGTAGTCTCGGTGATCGGAGATTGCCGGAAAAAGTTCGGAGAATTGAAACTGAGTAGCGCGCGGCGACTCTGAAACCCTAGCAGGGAGAGTGTGGGAAAAAGCAGAGACGCCAATGTTAAACTTTTGCTTCTTCAGTATTCCCCTTTTTTATATTCGCTTCTACCACTTACACACGTAGCGATACGAATTAATCTCCACCGTTTATTCAAATGAGATTAATATCGGCCCTGTGATTACTTCATCAACGGCTTTATTTTCATTTTGAAATGTTAGCTTCGTCTTTTTCTTTTTTTTTTTACTTGTTTGTAAAGAGCGGGGTCGTATGTTGCGTGGTCACGCGATATTTTCTGCGCGTGGTTATTGAATAGAGGATAAAATGAATATCATAATCATACGATATGAGTATGTGATATGACATACTATATGTTAACTTTCCTTCTAAAAGTTGATAATTTATTCATATTTAAAATATTCGAACAAATATTTTACTTAATGATTTGCTTATTATTTTCAAAAAATATATATATATACTAAACAAGCGTGTTGAATAGTATTTTTTATTAAATTTAATTGTAATGGATGGTTTGAAACACACGGGGCATTATGGATGTGGGGATGGTTGTAGCGCCAGACTTTTACAGCGCGGTAGTAGTGAATTTAATTTACGTTGGCGATTAATCTTGCTGAGAGATAGAGATTAACTTATATTTGAAGGTAAGAAAATATTTGCGATTAATCTTGTTAAGAGATAAAGATTGACTTATATTTGAAGGTGAGAAAAATATAAGAATGAAGATGAATTTTGTTAGCTTTTTGTTTCATTTTTTGTAAATCTCTTATCAGACTTTAAACACAAAGTCTAGAATTTGAATAAAAGATAAGAGTTTAGCAGCTAACTAAAACAATTTAGAGATAGAAAGGAAAGAAAGAAACACACAAGCAATTATCCTAGTTCCTCTCACAAATCGAGAGTAGTTCAGTCCCTTTGTACTTTTAAGGGATTTCACTATAATCAAAATTGATTACAATTGCTCAAGCACAAAAAAGAGATTTTTAGTGCTCAAACGCACAAGCAAGTAACTTCTAATATTCAAGCACACAAGCAAGAGACTTCAGATGCTCAATACACAAGCAGTAGACTTCTTAAGCTCTAATTTACAGTTAAAAGATTGTGAAAAATTACACTTGATATACAATCAGAGGTGTAGACAAAATACAACATTATTGCGGTTTACATGAAGGGTCTTCTAAGAGTGATTGGTGTAACACTCCAAATCTAAACTTGCGGATAACAGGAAAAACAACAATTCATATAGCAAACAAAGCGCAGCAGCGCAAACATTGACTGCATGACGGTCGTCACACGGACAAAATTCCTCATATCAGAGATGTTACACTTCAACCTGACAGACAACATCATTATGCAACAACTTGCAAATATCATACGTAGCACGAAATTGGATGAACAATCACCAATGTATTACTTAACCATTTAATCATAAATCAACTCGTCATTACTTCCGATGGAAGTTCGATAAAGTATACAACATGTTCTCTTAAAACAATTTAATAAAAACATCGTAACAAGTTCAATCAACAATAACATCGACTAAAATAATAACAGCAATCGTCCATCCCCCCAAGAGTGCTACGTATCAGAGCGACCAACGACACCTTAACGGGAACTACGCTCTATTTCTGACTACCTGCAAATTACCACCAGAGGAGGTAACATACAACGGAAAAGGGTGAGATATCAATAATATAACATAAAGCATGATAGAAAACATGCCGGAAACTCATCACAGCATTATAGGTTTCGAAATCATAAATATCATCGACAACAACTGCGAGTAATCCATATCTCACATAAACAACATTAACATACAAATAGCGTAATTACGCGACTTCATGCGACTCAACAATGCGACTCAACTGTGCACATGCATGTGGTACCATTTAGGAGCCAACACTCCAAAACTCGGGATAGGAGCCAACACCCCAAACCCATCTAGGAGCCAACACTCCAAAACTCGGGACAGGGCCAACACCCTGAACCCATCTAGGAGCCAACACTCCAAATAACGCCAATACAGGCACAACCGTTGCCAATCCAGGCCAAATGTTATGCCATGAAATGCATCTATTATGGACTACAACACAACCATAGCAACCATATAACAAGGCATTACGCCTACAACCACAATGTCCATAACAGAGCATCATAACATCATACCACTCATACAACTATCACTTTCTACCCGTTCACATACGGGAACAATAACAACATAATTTCAACATTTATGACTGTTCATGTAAAGGAACATTACAACATCGTACCAACAAATAGGAACTCAAAGTGTTCATACAAAACGGTTATTCCTATACATGTATAACATCAACATCAGTTCAACAATTAAGGACTCGAACGTTGCCGTAAGAGCACATCATAACCTTCACTTACTAAATTATCTGCAGAGCAATTCTCTTGTCCCATTAGGGCAATCGTACAACATTATATTAAACTCACGATATAACACATTCATTCCTACATAGAAACCTTTTCCCTAACATTTATTGATTAACAAAACTATACCTATGACTCGATTCCTACATGAATTCGATCATACTCCCAGTTATAGAATTGAACCCCACCCTTACCTTAGAATTGAGGTCAATTCCACGCTCTCCGGTTCCGCTTCCGCTCTCCGGTGACTTTTCTGCAAAAATCCTCCAAATTCGCCGGTGGTTGATTCTTTGCTCTCAACTTCCCTCAATGCGTAACTTCTCTTTTCAGTCTTTCTTTTCCCCAAATGGTGTAATTGAGGGTAAAAGAGTCTACGGGAATGTATTTTTTCTACCAACTCTCAGCCACGTCCAAATTCTGCATTTAGCTGAATTTCGTTACTATGACGGTCGTGGCAAGTCCATGACGAGCGTCACGGCCGTGACGATCGTGGCAAGTCCATGACGATCGTCATATCAGAAAAATTCAATTTTTTTCTAGATAGAACATCTCTTTAGCTTTCCAACGCTTCGAACGGGGGTCGAATCCGACTTACGGATCAAGAGATATGATTATTCGAAGTTTCCTAAAACCGCTACGGAATTTTACACTTTTTCTCGACAATTCGACCGATTCAATTCCTTCCTTCAATCCAAACACATACTCAACTACGACTATGACGCAACGAGACATAGCAAAGTCATAATTGAATTTAATCAAAATAAAACGTGCGTTACAACTCTCCCCTACTTACAAGAATTTCGCCCTCGAAATTACCTTAATTAAACAGCTCGGGATAAGACTCCCACATCTTGCTCTCTAGTTCCCACGTCAAGCTTTCGCCAGCAGCTCCCAACCAGACCACTTTCACCAAAGCAATCTCTTTACCTCGTAACGTCTTCACCTCCCGATCATTAATTCTCACAGGCTTCGTCTACACAGTAAGATTCTCACGTACTTGCACATCGTCCATGGGAATGACATGCGACGGATCTGAAATATACTTGCGGAGCTGTGACACATGAAATACATCGTGTAGATTCGACAAATTTGGCGGCAACGCCACTCGATATGCCACCTTTCCAACTCTGTCTAATATCTGATACAGACCAATGAAACGAGGAGTAAGCTTCTTGGATTTCAAAGCTCTACCAACACCGGTCACAGGCGTGACTCTCAAAAATACATGATCTCCAGCTTCAAATTCTAAGTCCTTCTTGCGCTTATCATGATAACTTTTCTGCCTACTCTGTGAAGCTTTCATCTTTTCTCGAATTAACTTCACCTTCTCGGTAGTCTCTCGAACAATCTCCGGTCTGAGTACCACACTCTCTCCCGATTCATACCAACACAACAGAGTCCTACACCGCCGACCATACAAAGCTTCGAATGGTGCCATTCCGACACTAGAGTGATAACTGTTATTATAAGTAAACTCTATCAACGGAAG